TGGCTCAGTGGATGAATGCCTCTGAGTTCAATCCACAGTACCCCCCCCCCAAAAAAAAAGAGTTGTGGTCTCCAGGACTCGAGAAGTAGGAAGGATAAATTGGAGGAGCACCAAGAATTTTTAGGGCAGTGGAAAGGATTCCAAAGGATACTACAATTGTCCAAACTCAACACCTAGAGTGAACCATGATGCACACTATCGACTTTGGTGATAGGGATGCAGGATTAGTGAATGTACTACTTTGGCGAAGGATATTGATAATGGGAGAGGCTCTCTGTGTGTGTGTGTGTGTGTGTGCGTGTGTGTATCAGGGTTTCCTACCTGTATTCAATTTTGCCATGGATTTAAAATTGCTCCAAAAAAACTGTTAAATAAATATATGAAAAACAAAAACAAGATCTCTGCTTTCATGGAAAGCATGTTGGGTGACCATCTCTGAGTACAAGCCAGGATAAAGATAGAAGCTGAGAGGGGAGCCAGTGAGGATTGTCTGACTGGCATTGATGACCTGATTTTCTGATCCTTTCAGAGACAGGCTTCACCTGACATTTCATGCATTTTGCTTTTGTAAACTTTTGTGGCTTATGCTAATGAGATCTGGGTGTCTATCACTAGCCCTGTAAGAGTGCTGAAGCATGGGGGACACCACCACCTCTTTGGCAAGGTTATTTAAAGCATTAGTGTAGTAGAAGTAGCTACTCACTTAACCCCTTACTTACCCAGTGCAATGACCCACATTAAAAAAAAATCTCAATAAATGGCAATGATGATTTAAAAATCAGTTCCTTTTTTCAATTGATTTTATTTTTTTTAAAATACACGACAGCAGAATGTATTACAATTCTTATTACACATATAGAGCACAATTTTTCATATCTTTGTATAAGGTATGTTCACGCCAATTCATGTCTTTATACATCTTTTTCTAACCAGAGGCCCTAAAACAGCACAAAGCTCTACGCAAAAAAAATTTGACCATCGTTAAGCATTTCAGAGGTATTGATTTGAGCTGCAAAAGAGCCTCCTCCCACCTTCTTTAAAAGATGGTGAGTGTGAGTCATTTACCCAGAGTAAGCAGGGATCCATCAAAAACAGCTGGGAGATATACACAGCGACCCCCCCCCCAGATCCCCTTTATAAAATGTGTCCTGGAAGATTGACTTGTTCCATTTTTTTTTTTTTTTTTTTTGCTAAGAAGCAGACTTTTTTTCCCCTTGCAAAATCTTTTGTAAAACCTCAGATATGAAACAGATACAAGCAGAGCTTATATGCTGCCATGGCAACCCTGATTGCTCTAGCCCACCCTGTCCTTTGTGCTCCTGGAATCTCTCTGCATAGGCTAGCTCCCCCCTCCCCCAAATGCATTTGGTAGACACTGGTTGGGGATGGGAGCAGACAGTATGTCCCAGAGTTTCAGCTTGGTAAAATTAACTCGAATAATGTCAGAGCTGGAGAGGAAGTGGTTTTTTTTTTGCATTGTTGCAAAAAAAAAAAAAAAAAGGTATAAAAGGGCATCAACCTTGGGTTTGACCTGTTGCAAACTCAGAGAGTGAGTGGGAGGCAGAGGTGGTGGAGTCACCCCAGGGGTCTGAATCAGGTTTATTCGTGGGCTAAATAAGCATGAAGGTTAGAAGCTGAGCTTTATTGCAGTTGAATGGCAGAGCAGTCTTTTATTTAGACATCTCTTGCCTTTTTCTTTTCACTTTCTAACAAAGACATGTAAGTTTCTATATTACCTTACAATTTATAAAGCCCACACTCATTCATTGTCTTTTACTTTTGCAGATTTGTATATACGGACTTTACATGGCACTGGATCATTTACACTCTGCATGAAATTTAATTCATTCTCCTTCTAAACAATTATATTTCTTTATATAATGCATTGAATGATTTTTAAGGCCTGTAGGAAATCCAAACTTTTGTTTCTACTGTACTATTCTCTCTCCCTCTTAAAAAAAAAAATAAGACCTTTTTGTTATGGGAATGTTCAGATATATACAAAAGTTGAAAGAATAGTGTAATGAACAGTCATGCACCCGTCATACATTTTCAACAATTTACTCTTGACCAATCTGTTTCATTTATATTTCTACTTCCAGGCTCCCAGATTATTTTGCAGTAAATTTCAGATGCATATTTCATCCGTGATTACAACTGATTCTTGGTATTCAGGGTAGTTAGGTTCTTTAAAGTTTGCTGTGAACACAGAATTAGTGAACCCTAAATCTCTGATCCTTGAGGAAATATAGTTAGCCTCCTTGTGAACCTCCAGCCACCCTTTTGCTAAGTGAGCAAAACATAGCCTTGTTGCATTTAAGTTTCTGATTGGAGAAACCTTATTTAATTCATGCTGTTAATTCATTAACCTAGAATTTGCAGCCAACAGCCCTATCACTCTTGCCTGGATGAAGCTTAGTTAACAGATGTAGTTTCTCTGGGAGACACATCGCAGACTTCATATGCTAAGGAATACTAGAAGGCACAAGAATGCAAATTACAAGATAGTTGATAAACCTTGAAAAGGATAGTCCTGTACGGGGTGAAAGCAACACCCAGGTACTGTATTCATCTGCGAACATAAGTCCTGGATGACTCAAGATTTTTTTTTTTTTAAACCACTTCGTGCATGTCCACTAATGACCAGAAAAGCACCAGGAACAAATTGCTTTTGCAATTACAAATGAAATTAGTGAGTAGGTGCATTCACAAATACAGATTCTGGGAGTCATAAGAACTAACTCTATTTCAGTACATGTTGGAAAGAGAAGAACTTTTTCTGAAGAGCAACACCAAAGTACTATGTTACACGGGCCATAGTGTGGATAGTAAATGTTCCCCCAAAGGCCCATCTGTTGAAGGCTTGCTCCCCAGTCCCTGGTACTATTGAGAGGCGGTGCAACCTGTAGGTAGAGGGATCCAGTGGAAGGAAGTTAGGCTATTGGGACCCCAGCCCCTTCCTCTTTCTTTCTTTTCGTTTCTCTGCTGCCATGAGGTAAGCAGGCTTCCTCCACCAGGTTCTCCACCATGATTCACTGTGCCACACAGGGACAAGAGACTATGGATGGACACCTCTGAAACCATGAGCCAAAATAAACCTTTTGTCCCTTTCGGTTGTTTCTTTCAGGTATTTTGTCACAGTATTCTCTCAGGTATTTTGTCACAGTATTGAAAGACTACCATAACATTATTACATGTAAAAAAAAAAAAAAACCGGAATAGTACTTACTGAACATCATTAAATACATTCAGTCTACGTCCAAATTCCATAAGTGTCTCATAATATTTTTTTCATGCATGGTTTATTCAAATAGCCTTTTAAAGCTTTCTGAACTAGCCTCGACTTTCCAATGTATTCTGGTCTATTTTTAGCACCCTGTACACACCCCCTGCACACTCACTTTATTCAAGGAGTTTTAATGGTACTTTTCCACTTCTTGATCAGGTGGGAGCTGTTTTACATGTTTTAAGCTATTGACGGTTCTATCGAACTTCTTGCATCTGCACTGTATTTAGCAGAAATTCCTTCAAGTTGTTTCCATGTGGATAATGCCCTTCCCTACTTTGCAAAGCCAATGCAGATTGTTTTGCTAATTTTTCTGAGTGAGGGAATGGCAGTTCTATGGATCTTTGGAAGGGGAAAGGGATTAAAAACATGTGCTTCACCAGTCATCCTAAACTGAAAAGATTTAGTCTTAAAAGATTTATAGTTACTCTTCATTTTATAACCAGTTAAGTAAGCTTATAAATTTAAAACAGAAAAAAGAAGTATCCACTCTTCAGAGTGCTACCCAGTCTCCTTCTTTATAGAGGCAATAGAGACTTCATTAATCAAACTTTTTTTTTTTAAAGATTTGTTGAACATCTATCATGTGTCAAGATTCGTGTTAAATGCAAGATTGTAACTCAAAGTGGATCAAGGAGGTAGGCATTAGGCCAGAGACCCTGTGCCTATGAGAAGAAAAAGTGGGCCCAACTCTCCATCATTTTGGCTTAGGAACCAAATTCCTTAATAAGACTTCTAAAGTGCAAGAAGTAAAATCAAGAATCAATAAATGGGATGGTATCAAACTAAAAAGCTTCTTCACAGCAAAGGAGACAATTAAAGAACATGAAGAGAGAGCCCACAGAATGGGAGAAAATCTTTGCCAACTGCACCTCAGATAGAGCATTAATCTCCAAGATATATAAAGAACTCAAACAACACTAAAACAACTACACAAACAAACAAACAAACAAGAAAACCAACAACAAATAACACAGTTGATAAATGGGCAAAGGAACTGAAGAGGCACTTTACAGAAGAAGAAATATGGATGGTCAACAAATATACGAAAAAATGTTCAAGCCAGGCACGGTGGTGCATGCTTGTAGTCCCAGTGGCTCAGGAGGCTGAGGCAGGAGAATCCCAAGTTCAAAGCCAGCCCCAGCAAAAGTAAGGCACTAAGCAACTCAGTGAGACCCTGTTTCTAAATAAAAATACAAAATAGGGCTGGGGATGTGGCTTGGGGTCAAGTGCCAGTGAGTTCAATCCCTGGTACCATAAAAAAGGAAAAAAAAAGTTCAACATCTCTAGCAATTAGAGAAATCCAATTAAAACCACCCTGAGATTTCACCTCACTCTAGTAAGAATGGCAATTATCAAGAAGGCAAGTGATAATAAATGTTGGTGAGGATGTGAGGGAAAAGATACACATTGCTGGTGGGACTTCAAATTGGTGCAGTCAATCTAGAAAGCAGGATGGAGATTCCTCAGAAAAATTGGAATGGAACCATCATTTGACCCAGTTATCCCACTCCTCACTTTATACCCAAAGGACTTAAAAACAGCATACCACAGTGACACAGCCACATCAATGTTTATAGAATCTCAATTCCCAATAGCTAAGCTATGGAACAAGCCTAGGTGTCCTTCAACAGATGAATAGATAAAGAAAACATGGTATATACACACAATGTCCTTCAACAGATGAATAGATAAAGAAAACATGGTATATACACACAATGAAATATTACTCAGCCATAAAGAAGAATGAAATTATGGCATTTGCTGGTAAATGGATGGAACTGGGGACTATCATGCTAAGTGAAATAAGCCAGTTCCAAAAAAACCAAAGGTCAAATGCTCTCTTTGATATGTGGATGCTAACACACAATAAGTGGGAGAGCAAAGAATAAAAGCTCATTGGATTAGAGAAAGGGGAAGATAGAGAAGGGAGTTGGGATGGGAAGAAGAAAGACAGTAGAAGGAATTGGACAAAACTTTCCTATGTTCATATGTAAGTTATACTCCATATATGTATAATATGTCAAAATACATTCTACTGTCATGTACATCTAAAAAGAACAAATAAAAAGAAAAAAATAATGAACTTTTCAATTCACACATGCACACACACACAAATACCAGTTTGTACAAAAAGGAAGAGTCACAGTCTCTGACCTCATAGTTCTCACAGCCAAAGTAGCAAGAGAGTTACATACATGACTTACAGGGAAGGGTGGAATCCATGATGAGCCAATGCTGGGAGCAGAGGATTCTGGGAGCAGCAGAGAGCGATTGGCTCTGCCTGAAGCTCCCATGTTTGGAAAGTTTTATGAAGAAGGTGGTATAGACACAGTGGGGCAGATCAATGGACAGTAGGCAGAGAAGCAGAATGTGTCCAGAATCTGTTGCTTCTGGACAATAAAAACATAAGGCTAAAAAAAAAAAAAAAAGATGGTGTGAGATTATGAAAGTCTTTCATGTAAAGATCAGAAAATGTATCTCTCGGGCAAGTAGAAATCCATGGATATTCTTTAATACAGTATTGTGGCATGATTAGGAGTTCAATGAAATAAGAAAGAGCCACCAAATGAATCACTTTTGAAGCATTAAGAAAGGATGATAGAAACTACCCGATTCCAACTAACTCCACATCCAACCCAAATGTAAAAGTGTTCCAGATATAAGAACAACATATATATAGATGTGAGAAATCCTCTTTTCATTTTTACGATAACTAAAAAAGAGAGCACCAATAATTTTCACTGACCTTCAATCTTAAGCCTTAACTTCTTATCTCATGCTTTGATGGAGTAAAAGGAAATTCACTTCCCGGGTTCATATTTGATTATCAAGGGTATGCCCAAACAGAGCTGTGAAGTCAGGAACCTCTAAGTGCTTCTATCCTTTTCCTTCTGGCTCTCGAGATTGGAGTTGTCCTCCAGCTCAGTAAAAGCAAGCATTTCTGCTGCAGGTTGCCATTATGTGTTTTTCTCTTGAAATCTGAAAAAAAAAAAAAGACAGTGGTTGCCTGATTCATTTTTAGCTTCGTTGGGGGGTCTTACCCAAATTTTTGGAATTTTTTTCATTCCAGGAGAAAGAGTGTTTATGCATTTTAACTTTAAATATGCTACCTCATGCCCCAAAGTGCTACAGCATCCCACACTTCATTATTATTAAAGAATTTCAGACATATGGGCATTACTTTTTAGATACCAGGCTTTCTGCAGAAAAATCTAGAATCAGCTTCGAAACAATTTGGAATCTCTGGGTTTCTATACCTGGTGGGGAACATTCATGGGAACACTTTCAGAAGCTAGACTGTTCTTTCCAGCTAAGATACTTCCAATCCGCTTTCCTCAGACACACCATAATTCCATTGGGGTTTATCTCCAAGTCCAGAACCTTCCACAGGGCCGTGGAAGCTGTCTACTTCTTTCCCAGCCTTGTTCCCCACAGGTTCTACTAACGTAGAATATTGGATATTTACTCTGGTGACCCATGTGCATGGTGATAAGCCTCTTGATATATATATTTTTTCCTATTTCTTTTCCTTAAGTACAACTCACAATTAAGTCCAAGCTTGTGTTTTGGACATCATGTCCCTAGAGCAATGAAGTCCAGCCCAAGAGCACCTGTTCCTCAGGATGGTAGACTCCTGCCTGCATTGCTCTTGATGAATTTCCTCTTCAAACCCTACCTAGAATGCTAGATAGGGAAGAGGGATAGGGAGGGAAAGGGAGGGGGCAGGGGATTAGTAAGGATGGTGGAATGAGATGGACATCATTATCCAAAGTACATGTATGAAGACACGAATTGGGTATCAACCTACTTTATATACAAACAGAGATATGAAAAATTGTGGTTTATAAGTGAAATAAGATTTGTAATGCACTCCTCTGTCATGTATTTAAAAAAAAAATCCTACCTAGAGCAGATTGCTCTTAAGAATGTTTCACTCTCTGGCAGGATTGACTTTCCTGTATTTGAAGTTGGCTCTAAATAGAATGAGTCCGCAGCTTTTCTTTCTTTCTTTCTTTTTTTCTTTCTTTCTTTCTTTCTTTCTTTCTTTCTTTCTTTCTTTCTTTCTTTCTCTCTCTCTCTCTCTCTCTCTCTCTCTCTCTCTCTCTCTCTCTCTCTCTCTCTCTCTCTCTCTCTCTCTCTCTCTCTCTCTCTCTCTCTCTCTCTCTCTCTCTCTCTCTCTCTCTCTCTCTCTCTCTCTCTCTCTCTCTCTCTCTCTCTCTCTCTCCCCGCATTTCTTAGAATATAACTACTAACCAAAGACAATAGGTTTAAATGCAAATAGTTGTGGACAAACCAGGGTCACGCTTAATCTGGAATCAAGTTGAAGAAATTTCAGTTGATAAAGCAATGAGTGTTAGCGTGGAAATCACAGGAGAAATTATGGACAAGGAGGAACACGAAGGGTTAATTAAAGACGGGGAAGAGCATGAGGAACTGGGTGTGACTGGCAAATTTGCAATCAAAATCATGAACTTTGTGAATGGTTGATTGAAACCCAGGGCCCCGAAGGAAGGAGTGTGTAGCCCAGGCGGTCTCATGGAGCAGAGCTGGCTGCAGGCTGGAGGGGCCCTTAGAAGGGAATCCGGTTCCTGAGTTATCTTCAATTGTCTGTGCCGAGTGGTGTACAGGAGACATTCAGGCAGGATAATCCCCAAATCCCCGAGACAATGGGGAGAGACCGGCCTTGGGCTAATCCTAGGAGACATATCTACATGCGACCTGACAAGGATGAGCTCCGGAATGTTCTGATGGGCAAGCAGGATGTCAGCATGGCCTCCGCAGATGACATCGGGGATAGGAAAGGCAGCTGCACACACATCCCTAGTGGAGCTTCATCCACCAGAACTGATGAGCCATTGTCTGCCTGCAGCCACATCAGCGTCCCCAATCCGGGCCTGTCATTGAGAGGTCGTGTTGTCCTTTGAATCAAAACTCCGTTTTGCAGAGGGCGGCCAGCTTGATATGTCACATTTACATAGTCTTTTCTCTTTTTAAGGAAAGATAACCGTATGCTCTTAAAAAAAATGATATCAAGCATTGAAAGGCAATTTTGGATCTTACTTAGTGAGACTAAACCTCTTACTGTGGTTGAATACAAATTCACCCTGAACTCGCTATATTGATAGACTATTAATAATCACAAATGCGCAGTCTGGCTGGGCACAATTCACAAGCCACTTATCAAGCAGAAACGAACTTTATTTTTAGAACACACACACTGCACCACAGGAGCGCTTCAGGAATTCCCTCAGAGCCCAACTGCCACCACGGGCTTCCCACAAGCCTCTCAACCCCCCTCCACTACTCCTGCTCTTGAGGCCCATTGGCTGGGTCACCTGGGCGGAGCCAAAAGAAGTCTCCCAATGAGCAGCTCCATGGTCTGAAAGGGCTGGGAAACAGCCCAATGAGCATCACCACAGAGGAGCCAATCAGCTGGCAGCTGGAAGTTTGCTGGGGCCGCTATGGGCCAATCATCAGCTGGCAGCTGGAAGTTTGCTGGGGCCCCTTGGCTGAGGCTCTCAACAATAGCAAACACTTGTTGAAGGGACAGCTTATTGAAGGTGGCACTCTTCAATTTAGGGTAGACAGCCATTTTCAGTTTGAGCTTTGTGAATGGTTGATTGAAACCCAGAGCTGGTAGGAGAAGGGGGCCCAGGCAGGCTGAGAGTGAAAAGGAAAAGAAGAGCTCACAGAGCAGAACTGGTTGCAGGGTAGAAAGGGCCCTAAGAAAGGAATTTGAACGATTCTCTGCTGTTTGGATGGTAGGGCAGGAAGCTGGGCATAATGGTGCACACCTGTAACCCCAGTGGCTTGGGAAGCTGAGGCTGGAGAATTGCAAGTCTAAAGCCCATCTCAGCAATTTATCAAGGCCCTAAGCAACCCAGTGAGAGCCTGTCTCAAAATTAAATAAATCAATATCCATGCATTTGTCCAGTGCCACTTCCTAAGATACAACTTGGTCCTAGGCGAACCAGAATGCTTGGTCACTGTGCTGGTAATATTCTAATGAGGCTGCTCTATTTTCTTACCCACTTTAAAGATCAGACTTGACAGATGATTGAACATGATTAAACTCAGACATAATAAATCATTTTTTTTTTTTGGTAATACCCCATGGCTCCTATAACACAAGGAGGCAGGATTTGAACCCACTTCTATCTGACTTCCAAGCCACAGCCTTGAACCATCACATATTTACATCTCTGTTCTCACTGCTGTGAAACTGTGAGTACTAACCCTGATGACTAACCCCACACCCCAGTGAAAAAACTTCCTGATCACTGGCCAGAAATTCTGTTCCCATATGTCACGCAGCACAAGGTACATTAAAGCAGAAAGAGTTCCCAGGGGGCATCTAATCAATCCTATTCACCTCACAGCTAAGCCTCAGAAGGGTGAAGCATGTAGCTCAAAGTCACACAGCAATAACAGAGTTGGGACTTTATCTCAAGTCTTTTGAATCCCAACTCAACGCTCTCTTTCCAAGAAATGACATAATACAATTTCCAAGTGTTTCAACAAAGCATATTAGAAGTGAGAAGCTTAGTTTGGAAAATTAGCCAGTAACTATGGACTCCTGAGCAAATTCAGTATTTTCCAACATGGCATTTTACAACCGTGACAGATAACAGGGATTATGCATGTATTCCCCTGTCTTTCTTTATTTTAAATTGGTGTTTATCCATAAGGCTCACACATGAAATGCAGGCAGCCTAGAATTAAACCTACATCCTACACACACACACACACACAAAAACCTTTGCTTCTGTAAGTGATGGTTTTCTCCTGCCATTCTGAATGAGAAGAGACAATGGGAGCTGTCTATATCTAGGGCATGTTATAGAACAGTCAGCTTAACTGGACATGATGGTGCATGCTTGTAATCCCAGCCGCTCGGGAGGCTGAGGCAGGAGGATTGAAAGTTCAAAGGCAGCCTCAGCAATTTAGTGAGACCCTATCTCAAAAGTAAAAAAATAACAAGGGCTGGGGATGTGGCTCAGTGGTTAAGTGCTCTTGAGTTCAATCCTTGGTACCAAAAAAATAAATACAAGAGTCAACTTGCTGAAAGGGGTGACTATGTCAGCTTCATTTGGAAATTTGAAGTCTCAGGCCTCACCCCAGACTTTCTGAATCAGAATCTACGTTTCACAGTTCTTCCTGGAAGATGTGTGGCACATTATATTAGGGAAGATGGAAGGCTTTTGACAGTCAGCTTTGCCCTCCCTGGTTTGTAAGAACTGGATGCAGAATCTCAATACACCCAAAAAGTCACCTGGCTGAGTTTCAGGCTGCTTATGGTGTTAAAACCAGGATGAACACTGAGGAACAGGTTGGTGACACATCCATCTGTGTAAAGTATGTCTCCTAAAATTTCAACTTGTGGATTTTTCTTTTCCCTATAAGACTGGAGAAGATTTCGCCATCTCTCTCACTTATCCATAGTCAAAGGCTTCCTGGCTGCTTTCTCTTTTGAATTAATAGTGTATTAAACAAGGATGATAAATAAAAGACTTGAAAAACAGTCCCTTGGAATACTTTTGAATTAAATCTGACCCAAAGTTAAGAGAAATTATCTCAAAAAAAAAATTTTTTTTCCCTGTTCGTGTCTGTTTTCTTCAGTGTCACTATAGTATCACAAGAACATGGCTGGATGACTAGTCACGGTTTTCCCCATTGCTTCCAAACTGGATTTTACAACTCTCTCTCTTTTTTCTCTTGATGATCTTACTAAGCTGAAAAAACTGCCATCGTAAGTCAAATATCAATAAAAAGTTTTTTTTCTGGTAGCAGAGGGGTATACCGGGGATTGAACTCAAGGGCACTGGACCCCTGAGCCACATCCCCAGACCTATTTTGTATTTTATTTAGAGACAGGGTCTCACTGAGTTGCTTAGGGCCTCCCTGGTGCCGAGGCTGGCTTTGAACTCATGATCCTCCTGCCTCAGTCTCCTGAGATGCTGGGATTACAGGCGTGAGCC